GTGACTTAGGTCAGGGACTTCCAAGGTTTACCTCTTGAACCTCTAAATCAGAGAAATAGCTGGGAACTAAACCCAGGCATCTGACTCTCCAATATGGCCTAATACAGCAGATTACATTTCTGTAGACACAGCAGCATCCAATTTCTAACCTTTTTCAAGTGACAGGCCTCTGAGTCAATGTCTAGTGGGAGATGTTTAGGGAAAGGGGGACACTTGTAAAAGTTACCAAGCATTACATGGCTGAAAAAGCTTCACAAAAACTTTAAATGCTGGGGAAAATATCATATCATTATATGCAAGGATATGAGCCCGATTTGACCTTCTGGCCTAAGAGCTTCCCTATTTCAAAAACTGATTCCCTGGTGGCCTCCTCTTTGGGCCAGGTTCCTATACAGAAGCCTAAGAGGGCAATATTGACAGACTTGAGGAAGGTTTGTTAGTCACTGGTTCTAGAAGTGCTTTCCCCTTCTCTGTAAGGACTCTCAGTAGGCTGAGGAGCTAATAATCTTTTTTTTTTTGGGGGGGGGGTGAGGCAATGGGGTTAAGTGACTTGCCTAGGGTCATACAGCTAGTGAGTATCATGTCTAAGGCCGGATTTGAACTAAGGTCCTTCTGACTCCAGGGCTGATGCTCTATCCACTTTGCCACCTAGCTGCTCACCACCACTCCATCTTAAAATTGTTCCCCACCCCCCTCCTGTCCCTTTCCTGGTCCCAAAGAGAGGCTGAATAGTACAGAAATGAAAGAAATGAGGGTCAAGAAGGAAGCCCGCCTCTCCTCAGGTATATCTCTTTGGCTATGTAAAATTAGAAAGGTCTTTCACACTCCCTATCACTACAAACAAATACTGCTTCACTTCACTGGAACAGGCAACGAATGGACACCAACCTCGAGGAGTTGGGGAAAAGCAACAGAGATAGTGTGGGGGAGAAAATAAAGAGCAGGTACTTGGTATGGGCCAACCAGGCAGTGAGCTGTGGGGTAGGAGTGCCAAAGAGGGTGGGAGTGGGGGAGAGACTGGTTCTGTGACTCTCTCTTTTCCTACCATTTCTGGGGCCTCCTAGGGAGCTCCTCAGAGAGACTAAAGGTTCCTCATGTCCTCCTGGCTTTTTATGCCTCCTCCAAATCTTTGCTTCTTCTTCTCCTCCTATCTCCTTCTTCAAGGGCAGTGATGGGAAGACTGTCTTACAGGAGACTTCATTGTGCCTTTTTCCCAGTAGATAACAGAACTGGGCTAGGAGCCAAAGCAAGGTGCCAAGACTAGGAGAAGCAGCTTCCAAGTCTTGGAGGCTGATGTAAGAAAGTTATCCCTTGGCTCCTCCCAATTCAACCCTAAGTAGCAGCCAAGTGAATAGGCAGCTTTTATCTACTTACCTGATGCACTCAGTAGGCTCTTCTAGGCTCCCAGGAGCCTTAGAATCCCTTAAAATGGCCTGGCCAATTTGGGAAATGTCCCCATTTCTTCTCAATATTGATAAGATACCTGGTCTTTGGGGAGGGTAAGGGCTATTTTTACTCAGAGCATTAAAAAGACTATAGTCCTACATGGGGTAGGGCAGTTAGTGTATGGCTCTACCCATGGGGGTGGAAGACCACTGACTATGCACTCATTTGTAATTGCAAGTCCAGCACTCAGGAACTCAGCAGAGCATCTGACAGGATCAGTCTGTAGCATCCAGGACTTGTATGCAGTGAGATCTACAAACCTGGAAGTGATTACAGCTCCAGATTGCCACAATGTGAATTTGCAGTGACAGCATCTGTAAGGCTGTGGACTCATAAATGGTCAGTCATGAAAAATGTTGACTGCTTGGTCCTTGGGAGGACTAGGTAGCTAACTGGCTAGGAAACAGGCTGGGGAAGGGTCTAAAGGCTTCCCAGGGCTCCTGAGAAAAGACCAGAGAAACAACTCATAAGCCAGAGAGTGCTTAAGACAGAAAGAGCGAATGCCAGTCTTTCCTGGGAGCTCCCACGTGAGCAGGCCCCTGTGGCGGACCACACTAATGAGTCCAATAACACAAGCCTTTGATTAAGCAGCTCTGAGCACAGCAACTTTATTGAAATACAGTGAGACGGATGGGTTCATTCCCACCACTTCCCCTGGGTTCCCAGGGCAACGGCCCACTGCTGGGGAGCATGTCAAATAGTGTCAGTGAGCCATGTGTGCCCAGTCTTTGCTGAGGGGGCTGCCTACGAGTAAACTGGGGGCTGGGAGAGCAAAGTCTAGCACTGGTTCTCAGTGGCCAAAAAAGGTCATCTCCCTTCCCCACCTGTGGCTTCCCCAAATGTGCTGGGAACCTATACTCAAGAACTACGTGGTCTGAGTGGTCCATGGCTCCAGCCTAGCTTCACCACCACAGCTGGGTCTCTAGGGTATTTTAAGGAGGCAGTTGAGCCTCAAAGTCCAAACTTAAATTGTTGTCCTGCTCATCTGGCTTTATTAAGTGTCTGAGGGCCAGGAGGTAAGCCGTAAGAAAATGGAAACTTGGGGCAGCTAGGTGGCGCAGTGGATAGAGCACTGGTCCTAAAGTCAGGAGGACCTGAGTTCAAATCTGGTCTCAGACCAAACACTTGGTACTTACTAGCTGTGTGACCCTGGGCAAGTCACTTAACCCCAATTGCCTAAAAATTAAAAAAAAAAAAAGAAAACAAAACCTTAAGAAGTGCAACCTGTGTGACAGCAGGGTTCTGATGACTTCTCAGTCAGAACCACCAGTGGAAGCTTGGGCAGTGGCTGGAGGACTTAGTTCCATGACCCAATGGAGGACAGTGGCAGCACCTGTTTCTCCCCTTTTTAGCCACAGAAGTGGTTTGGGGCTCTGGGGTTTATCGCCCTGGAAGCTCCCCTGCTGCTAAGAAAAGGAGTGTTGGCTAAATTCTGAATACCAGTTTAGAGTCAAGGGCTCTTTCTGAAGTATAACTGAATGAAACGTGTTCCCATGTTCGGAATACCCAAATCTATTCTCTCCCGAGAAAGTTTGTTTGAACCTTTAATACATATTAATGCTATCCTGAGGACATTTCTGCTGAGACCTGTCAGCATGCATCATCTGCTGGGAATTATGAATCATTAACTCTCAGAGGCTGGGCCTGTGCTGGTGTCACATATATTCTCTCCAGCACCAGGCCTCTCCCTCCCCCAGGATACACGCTCCGCCGGGGCGGGGTGGGGGGGGGGGGAAGAGGCCCTCCCCTTCACATTCTCCACTGAACAGAGAAGCTTGCCTAGGCTAGGAGAGCATGGCTTGAGAGAGGGGAAAATTGGGAAGAGAAGAGGAGTGGGACAGAAGCAGATGCTTCCACTTGTGTGTGGGGCTCATTTCAAGTGTTACACTTCAGAACCTTTGTTACAGTAACTACCAACACCACACACAGAAATCTAATGTTACCAAGTGGGACTTTAAAAATGTATTTATAACTTTATGGTTCAAAGTAATTTTGTTATGAAACAATGTAATAATGACTGTGGAAAAAGTCAAGATAATTTATGGAGCACACTATCCCTAAAGGACTAGATTCAATTTCTACCATGGCTTGGTCTGTACTGTGCAGCAGGGTGTCCTCTGTTTTCTATTTGTTTTAATTAAGGGTTAGTGGTTTTTTAGTGGGCGGGGGCATAGAGGAGAAGAAATTCTACTGCCAGCTTAGGCAGATACACACACACCACATACATATTTATCAAAGAAACATTAAGGATCTCCCCCCCTCCCCCATCGTAGTTAATACTGTTTACCACCAGAACCAGTACAGTTCCTTTTTCCAAATGAATGAAATGCAAGTCTCCCAGGGTCACTCCCCATTGCAGTTAATAACAACAACCACCATAGCTGACATATACGTACAGTGCTCTACAGTTTACAAAGTTCAAGGTAGGATATATGATTTTCTTTCTCTATTGGTAGAGAGGTATGACTCCCTGCTGCCCCCTCTCCTGCCCTCCCCAACCATTCTCCAGTGGCTCTGGAAGTATGGCAGACCAAAATGACAATAAGCTACAGAGAGAAGAGAGGATTTAAAAGGTGAGAGGGGAAGGGGAAGTGTGGCATGTAGGACGAAAGACCCAGCAGCCTCTTACTCCCTACCTAGCAGCCAATTCTGAAGCTGCTTGGAGCTCTGCACTCCCTAAAAAAAGAGTACAAAAAGGAATGAGAGCTGCCAATACATCAAGTAGATTCCTTCCTCGTGTGGCTAGGCCCAGACCTAGTCACAATGGATGCTGGAGAAAGATGGCTAAATTAGGTGCTACCCATGCCACAGAACCTGGCTCTGTCTAGTCTATGCTTGTGGCTTCAGATAAAAGTCCAGAGGGATTCCTGCATATGTGGGACACAAGTGATTTGTATACTAATTGAATGATGGTTCCCATATTCACTTATTTCCCCCAGCACTCCTAAAGCACAGAAAGTTCTGCTTCCCCAGATTTAAAGTGGAAGTCCAAATCTGTGAGGCTTTTGTGGAAACAACTCGAACAAAGCTAGAGGGGAATTGGACAGAGAAGTACAATTGGCTGATCAGAAGCATAGCTGGTTCCTACAGTGAGGTATCTGCAATACCTTTGTTCTCTAGAATAATTTTTGCTTGGTACTGGTGGTGTAAGGACCACGCTCTGGTTGTCCACCAGATAATGAGGGCTTTTTTTTTTTTTTTTATTTTAGCGAGGCAATCGGGGTTAAGTGACTTGCTCAAGGTCACACAGCTAGTATGTGTCAAGTGTTTGGTCTGAGGCCGGATTTGAACTCAGGTCCTCCTGACTTCAGGACCAGTGCTCTATCTACTGCGCCACCTAGCTGCCCCAATGAGGGCTTTCTTGAAATCACCCTCAAACAATACCTACTGTCCCAGGGCATCCTGTGAGAGAGTATGCCCACCTATTGTTTAAGAAAAACAACTTACCACCAGATCCTCTGACATAGAGGTTGGTGAAATAGAGCCAGATGGGGAGAGGAGGGCCTTGGGCATTGGAAAGGAAGAGGGGAGAGAAGAAAAAAAGGCCTTCTCACTTGTAACCAGGGTCCATGGGCTGCATATGGATGCTCTTCAGTGGCAAAGGCGCCTTCCACTCCCGTCGATACAAATGTGATGGCTGTATCCCCTGTAATACTCTTATATGTAAAGTGCCGTCCATGTAACAGTCTGCCCCTGCGAGGGACAAAAAAGAAGAAAGTGAGGAGCAAGGCTCCTGAAGAACAAGTCCCAAGATGGATGAATGGCATTGTCTCTGGGGGCCTATTAGGTATTGTGTTCTTGCCAAAACATCCCCCCAAAATGGTTAGAAAGGAAGTGGAGACAAAATGTTTCTTCTCCACTTTCAGAGGCAGGAACTAAAGTAAATTTTCTGCCAGAGTCTTTAAAGATAAGCTCTTTTGTGGGTACTTCTCTCAGCACCATTCTTCTAAGTGGTTCTAAGCCCTCAGAGACACAGACTGTCAGAGATGGGAGGGCTAGCAAATAATCAAGGCCAATCCTTTTATTTTAAAGATAAAAGCTGAAGCACAAAGAAGCAATAGGACTTTCCCAAAGTCGCTCTATGAGTGGTCAAGAAGGAAAAAATTAGACCTGTGAGCCTGTGCTGGCAGTCTAATCTGTTAGTCTTTTGTTGTTTTTATTGTTGTTTCATTTCAGTCATGTCTGACTCTTCATGACCCCATCTGGGGTCTTCTTGGCAGAGATACTGGAGTGATTTGCCATTTCCTTCTCCACCTCATTTTACAGATGAGGAAACTGAGGCAAACAGGGTTAAGTGACTTGCCCAGGATAATAAAGCTAGTGTCTGAGGCTAGATTTGAACTCAGGTCTTCCTAACTGCAGGCTCAGCACTCTATCCTGGGCTCCACTTGTCAGGCCTTTACAGCTGTACAAATCATGCTTCTGAGCCTATATCAGATGCACCTGCCTCCCAATGTTGTCACTAAGAAATCTTTGCTCTCCCATCTGGCCTGGCATCTGAATAACCAACCCAAGGAGTTCAAACAGGGCACTCAAAATAAGAGACTGTCAGTAAATATTTGTTGAATAAAAGCATGAATGAATTTATGTTGGTTAAATGTTAAGTTATTCCCAATCCATACCCTTGAAAATTGACAGGGTGAAAATGAGAGTAAAATAGTAGAATAAATACCACTATTTGAAAAAGAAGTGAATTTCTGCTCTTTCTTTCATCAGACTACTCTGAATTAACCCATCCCAAAACCAATGTCCTAAGCCAAGTCCAAACACAAGCAGCCTTAAAGGAAGTAGTCTTTCCTAGGCTTGGGTCCGAATTTGTACAGGCCTACCCCCTCAAACCCCTACTAGTTCTCATCCAAGCTCCTATTTACTGAGATGCACAAGGACTTTAACTTACAGAGTATGATGGAAATTCCAAATTTAAAAAGTTTCTACCCTAGACCTTTTCCACTAACCAGTACCCAACAACTGGAGTGCCCTAGCAGGGAGGGGAGAGGAGAGGTAAGAAATGTATCCCTCTTCTTCTGGATCACTATTTCCTGAGTTAGGGAGTTATTCTTATTAATTTTTATGACATCAAACCCAGGGCTGAACTCCAAAGGGCTGTGGAGAAGCCCAGCTGCATCTGATTCTGTCTTATACATTGTCCATGGGACTCTGAGTTGAGTTTCAACCATAGAATTTGTATTTCTGGCATTGATGTAAGTGGCAGAAGGGACAAAGCTGGATTTCTTGGTCCCAGATGGAGCCTCTAGGCTAGCAATGGGTTTGGAGTTTAAACTGGTCATTTTGGATTAGAAGGTCAACAAGAAAAATGGATACCAATCTTCCAGAATGTCTTGTCCCATGACAGACTAGTGCTGAGAAGACTGTTATTCTCCTAAGGTGAGGACTTCACAAAACTGATCTCTGGAGAAATGGTAGGTTTTCCTGGCCAGACAGCCAGTCACCCCTAAGAAGACTGGGTGATCAACAATTTTCCTGGTCAACTGTTTTATCTTGGAGAAGGTGGAGTCATCACATGGATTGAGGGGTCACTCATGTCTTAGCTTTCAGAGTCTATGAGATGACTAGTGCAGGTGACAGGTTGAAGGTGATAGAAGTGGAAATGCTAAGGAAATGGAAAAATGGTACCCCCTTTGTCTATCCCTCCACCCAAAGATGCAAGGATGGTCATGGTTGACATGGGCTGAGAGAAAATGAAGAGGGGAAGCCTCTTCTTGGTAACAATGCCCTGAACCAGTTGGTCCCATCCTGCTGCAAATGTAACTTTTTCCCATATATACAAGCTAGAGCCTTAAGGCACAATGGTATGGGGGTTTGGAAGAATAGAGTTCCCAATCTGGCATCATGCTGTGTGTAAGAATTCCTAAGACATGACCCAGTGCAACCAGTTCTAGGTTCTGAAGACCACACGTTCTCTTCCACACAGACATTAACTGAAGCTTCAAAAGAAGTCCTCCACTCCCGATCCCTGAAACTCAGGCTGTGCCCAGCCCTGTGGGCAAGAGGCAACCTCAGTGGGGGAAACGTGTGTGCCAAAGGCTGATGGTTTCTTGAGTGTTCTGGATCACATTTCAGATTGCAGCAGACTGTGGTGGTTTGGGAAGGGATGGAGAGAGGAGGTGTCCTGTGAATGGAAGAGCGCCACCTGGAGACCAAACTGGGACACTGCAAACCTCACACTAGAGGGCAAATAGGAACAGGTCTGGTCTGTGCCTCTTGCTCACCTCAGACAAAGTGGAATTAGTGCTCCAGACTCCTGGTTGAATTTCAGATGTACACTTTCAAGCTGTCGTGTGCGAATTAGCTCATGGGGAATAATAGCTGCTGAGCTCTCGCTTTCTAAACTGTCCTTGCGACTCCTATGAAACAAACACAAATTCAGCACAAATTAACACCAGCAATTTCAGTACTTTATAAAGAAAAGAGGGACAGGCAAGGTTGCTTCATACTGGGTGTAATCAAATATAACCCAATAGTAGGATATAATGGGACCTCCTTGGGGCAGAAAGAGGAAGAATCTGGTAGGTTTTTGCCACAAACTTGGACTTGGTTTCAGATTGTGCCAAAGTGGCTAGCATTGTCCTCTAAATCTCAGCAAAAGCTTTCAAGAACCCAGACTTCCATTTCATCAAGGTTGGAATGGGAGTGTATTGTAAGACTAAATTCTAAGAACTTCCTTCCAGTTGACCCCTAAGTGTCAGGGACATGAGATTTGGCTTTTAGTACACAAACCCTCCCTGCTTGTGCTCCCCAACCCCCAATGGGCAGGGAGCTGCAGCAACATAAACATCCCTTAGCTGGCCAGGAAATGATACAATCCTCAATGTGGGGGAGGAAATGGGGCTCTCTTCAGAGAGCAAGTAAGGATGAGAGGCCTCTGGCTGGACAAAACAATTTTTGGGGTCAACTGCAAAATAGCAAAACTGAGACTTCTCCATTAGCCCCATTTCACCACCCAATACCAGATGTCCTCCCAAAGATAGTCCAGCTCACATGGCGTGGGGAGCTTGGCCTGAGGATTCTTCTCTTCTTGATCCCCGCTGAAAGTGAGAGGTAGATGCTACTATCCCAATTCCCAACCCTGTGCTCCCTACAGCTGGGTTACTTGGTACATTTGCAAAGTAACGTTTACTCTTTCAAATTCAGCTGCTCTGACAACCTTTCAAAAGCACTTAATCAGAACTGTTGGTTACCCACTGACACCATTCAAAAGACCGGATTCTGGTTTTGGATTGTGAACCTCAAAACAATTACCCAAGTGTCTATCAAAATGCTGGGTGAAAAGCTCAATTTATTTATCATTCCAGCTTTAAGAGCCACCCAGAATCTTGGGACTTGCCAGCCATGGAAAAGCAGACCAAATATCCCTATGTGTAACCACAGTGGTGAAAGTACTGAAGGGGGGGATCATCAAAAGCTTCTTGGCTTTTCTTCAGGAGCAATGGCTAAAGTAAGCCATGTTGGTAAGGGAATAGGCCTGGGAAGAAGGACAGGAAGTCAGAAAGCAAAAGGATAAAAGGTGACACCAAATGTGAAAGAATTTACCACTGGCAAAGTGAGGTGGTTTACTCTGCTACATAAATAATATGCTCAATCTCTCTGGTCAGTTTCAATACTATGATTTGGCTTGTCTTCCACAAACTAGTCTGAAGCAGCCTTTTCCACAATCACTCTTCCCACCTCTTTCTTTTCAGCATATACTCTGACCAGATCGTTAAAACAGCTCAGCAATAGAGCCAAGATACTCACAGAATATCAAAGATGGAAAGCCTCTCAGAGATTTTAGATGAGGAAAGTAAAGCCCAGAGAAGGAAAGTGACTTGCTCGAGGTCTCACAGAGTTACAGACAGGTCTTCAGCCCAGGCCCAGTATTCTTTGTACTGCACTACTGTTACTACCAACTCTAAGTTTGATGGCATCCTGATTCTACCTAACCTGATTGGGGAAGAGCTCCATTTTTAACTGGAGAAACATCAAAGCTGCCTTCAGTTTAAGAAATATAACAGTATAACTCATGAAAACTACAGGATGTCTCAGGATGAATGGCTTTAGGCGTGGCCTCCACTGAGACCAACAGTATTCTGGGCTGGGTCCCACTAAGATCCTGGTCTTCTGTTTCTTATTATTAGAGCTTGGGCTTGGGATTATAGAACTCCATGAATGTAGAATACCTCACTCCAAGAATCAATTATCTTTTAGCACAAATAAGAATGCAGATTAACAGTCACAGGGAGGTGGGGGTGACAGAAAAATCAACGACATACAAGGCTGCATCTAGAAAATCTCAAGATGGAGGGAGAAAATTATTGAAAGTCAGCTAAAGTCACCTTGGTAACTGCTACAACATACTCCCCCAGAACAAGGACATCAAACCCAACTACAAACAGCTTTAAAGAAATGAAAAAGAACTTAATCATCTGAGGAATTAATGTGACAAGTGCCCACATTTACACCTCCCACCAACCTTCAATCATTTGAAAATGCACTTTATCTTTCATGTAAAAAAAATTTTTTTTTTTAAATCACAAAATGCTAGCTCTGCAGTCCTGGAGCCTGGGTATTTCCGGTGCACTGCATCAGTGGAAATGTGGCCACTCTGCATGAAGAAGCCCAGCCTTTTGTTGATTTGTTTTTTCTGGACATCGATGCAGAAGCATGAATTATTTGTGTAGGTGGGACAACGTAATAAATCTGTAGCCAACACAGGTTTGCAATGTTTTGCATGGTTGTCAGCTCTATCTGAGTTATAAAAAAATCAGTAGTAGGCTACCCAGCATGGCCTAATTATTCAGTCAGGTTGTTTTTTTCCCCTGGGCTGTTGGCGGTGGGGCAAGCAGAGGGCTGGGGAGGTGAGAAGTGTCTCTAGTGAAGTATATCAGAAAGATATATCCCTTGAAAAACATGAGGGACAAGGAAGGCCCTAGCGTCCCCAAGGTCAATTATTGTTCTAGGACCTAGCCCAGGGCTGCCAGGGGTTGGTGCTCTTTTGAAGCTTTTCTTCTCGAAGAAAGGCTTCGGTCGAGGCATGCTTCATTTTAACCTTCACAGAGTTGTTAGGGAAAAGAATCCTACCCCTTCCTTTACAAACTTATTCTTACTGCCAAACTAGCTACTACACTGGGCTTACAGAGGCGCGACCTTTGAAAAAAGACTACACAGGTCTTCACGAGATACAAGTCAAAAAAGTCACCATTGGCAGGAAATGTAGCCCCCAGCGGACTACTAGTGCTTCAAGAACGTGTGTTGTGAATGCAGAAAAACCACACATGGAAAAAGAACATAAATATCCTCTCCGAACATAATCTTCTCTCACTGTTTCTTGCTATACTTTGCTTTCTCCTAAACCCCTTTTTCAACCTCACTGTGAAATCACCATCGTAATAGAGGGACTGGTGATCACAACGAAGATGAAGAAGTGTCTTCCTCACGATGGAGGACATCATTGTTGAATCAAGCCCAAGATTCAATTAAACAAACATTTATTAAGTAGCTATTAGGTCCAAGGCACAGTGCTAGGTGCTGAAGCTATAAAGACAAAAACAAAAAACAGTCCTGGTCCCCTGAAGTTTACATTTTGGTGGGAGATACTGCATGTTTACACATTAATAAATACAAGATAATTTGAAGAGGGAGAGGGAGGATCAGGAAAAGTTTTGCATAGGATATGGCAGCTGAGCTAATCCTTTAAAAAAGGTAAGATTCTTCTAAGAGGAAGAGGAGAAGACAGACTGTATTTCCAGTACGAGCAACAGCTATTGCAAAGGCATGGAAGAAGATGGAATGAGAAGCTGAAGGAACAGCATTAGGGAATAGAGCACAGAAAGTGGAGCAGTGAAATAAGCCTGAAAATGCAGGCTGGTGTCAAATGACAGAGAGCTTTCAACAACGGGCTGAGGAGTGTGTGTTTTATCTTAGAGGCAAAAGAAGGCCACTGAACATTTTTGAACAAGGCAGCAAATTTATACCTTAAGACTGGAAGATTCAACAGGGAGAAGAGAAACTGGAATCAGGGACAACAGTTAAGAGTTTGCAATAGTTGAATGAGAAATGATAAAGGTCTGAACAAGGGTAGTAGCCATGTGTGTAGAGAGAAGGGAACAAATGCAAGAAATGTTGTGGATTAACCAACTGGATATAGAGCTTGTGGGAGCCAGAAAAGTGGAAGACAGCTCCAAGTTTGCAAAGCTGGGTCAATAGTGGCATCCTCAATGAGAATAAGTAAGTTTGAAAGTACAGCAAGTTTAAGGGAGAAGAAATAAGTTCTGTTTTTTTAAACATACTGAATTTGAGATGCTGTGAGACATCAAAGTGGAGATATCAATAGCATATGGAACTGGAGTAAAGGACAGACATTAAAGTTAAACTGGGGTTCAACTATTCGACTAGTTTTGAATCCATTTAAGTATACTATCATCTAGCCTACATAATTTTCTTTTATACACGACTGCATAAGAAAAGCAAACGCTTTGTTAAAATCCAGGTAAGTTGTATCTATAACATTTCTCTGACCTACCAGTCTAATAACCGTCAAAAAGGGAAATGAGATTAGTAAATCATGCTTTGTTTTATTGTTAATGAAGTTATAATGGCTTTTATGATCATTGTTTCCTTTTCAGGATGATGTTCAATGACCATTCCCCTTTAATAACATCCTAGAATTTTACCAGGAACTAAAGTCAAGCTCATTGGCCTATAGTCTATACAGACTCAATTCTCTTTCCTCTTTTGAAAACCAGGCCATTTACCCTCTGATCCAGTCATACCTCTCTTTTTGATTTTCATGACTTTCAAAGATTACTGACAATGGCTTAGGAATCACATCTGCCATTTTTTAGTATCCAACATGTGGTTCATATACAGAAAGGGATTTTCTCTGAATTCTCTTATTTTAAATTTCTTACTTCATAATACTCTATTCCATTTCAAATTATGTAAGAAAAATTACTAAAGTTTTAAATACTTTTGGCCCAAGGGATCAAAAGTCCAACATATAACAAGATATTCATAGTAAAATGTTTGGTGGTAGCAAAGTTCCCATACCCTAATCACTTCCACCCAAGTGACCAGTTACTCTTTGCTATGAAGAATCTGATCCAAAATAGAATTTTTTTTTAATAAAACATTTATTTATCTGTTTTTAGTTTTCAAAATTCACTTTTATAAGATTTTGAGTTCTAAATTTTCCCCTCTACCTATCCTCCCTAAGATGGCATGCAATCTGATACAGGCTATACATGTACAATCATATTAAACATATTTCCACATTAGTCATGTTGTGAAAGAAGAATCAGAACAAAAGGGAAAAAAACACAAGAAGAAAAAAAGAGAAAATAGTATGCTTCAATCTGCATTCAGACTT